TCTTTAAAATTAGTTATCTACAATGCCTAGTAGTTTCTATAGCTCATTCAGTACTTCACATCTGACTCAAGTTGACTTAAAATCACTACTTCTTTTGTGTCTCATTGCAATGCTGTGGTAATCCCCCTGAAATTGCAGGAACAGACTGGATCAAAGTTTCACTGATTTTGATATTGAGGAAAGTCACAAAACAAATATGAGCCTTGGTGCTTAACATAGGGGAATACCTACAATTTAACTTCCAATTTAAAGTAATTACATTCATAGCTTTTCACAAAAAACTCAAATTTTTGTTTTGAAGACAGGCTATTTTTAACTTATCCAAGAATGTTCTAATTCAGCAGAAACTTCCTCTGTCTTTAAGGCTAAGGTCATCTTATATTTTGATGTCTTGTGCAGACTTTACGACAGTGTGACTTAAGAGGTTGAGGAAATGAACCTTTCTGATGTTCAATAATAATATATGCAGTAAACTATGTAACACTGCTAGAAGCCTTGAATACACACTGAAATATTGCCAGTAGGCACTGAGATTTAATCTTGACCCTCATTTATTGCTTTAACAAGTTTTTTGTTACTTAGCCAGTTTTCAGTTTGTTGTGAATTTAGCTATGTTCCTTCTTACACCTTCCATATTTTAAAAAGTTATTTATGTACGTCATTACAAAGTTCAAAGATATATAATTTTAAACATATTCAAAGGCAGCAGGAAAGTGTTCCTGACTCAATTTGGTTACAAATATCCTCATTTATCATGAGACTTATGAATGAGGGTCTAAAAAACCCAAGGGCTTAAAATTATGTGGTTTCTCTAGCTGTTTTCCTCTTTTGCCTCCCAGACTCATCTCTGAGTAATGAATTCTAATACTTTAAATATATGACCACTTAATTCTTCCTATTAAACTTGCACTGTGCAAATGATGTACTTTAAAATGAAAACAGAAAAATAAAAGAATATGGAGGCAGTAGAAATACATATCTGAGTGGTAGGACACACTCTTGCAATTACTGATTCCACCTGGTCAGCTGAAGAAACTTAGTAAGAATAATTACTATGGGATAAGAAGTGTGGAGCTATGCCACTTAAAGAGAACAGCTATTCCTAAGGTCTGTTAAATAAAATCTCATCAGACTTCTAAATGTCCCTTCCTATATTTTGTCAGTGCTCCACTGCCCAAATTTACTTAATCACTAATAGTAAATGGCTGAGTTATGGAATAGCCACAAAAGAATACTAGCAAAATCATCACATTGAAGTACAAACCTTGAATTGCGAGTAACTTGGTCCATGAGTGTTCTGGAAGACAAGCAAATATTTCTAAGAAATTTTAACTTGATAAACAAGCGATGTCTTGCAATACAAATGGTTCGTCATGCCAAATGTCACAGGATAAAAACTGGTTTTCTCTCTCGCTCTCTCTGCTTTGATACACAAGTGCTTTGGATTATGAACAAATTCTCACAAACCAAGGTTTTGTATACTGACATGAAAAAGATGTTCACAGTATATTATAAACATCTTTAACTCCTAGTATTTATAAAGTTTTAGGATGAAAGTAGAAATTTAAGAGGGCCGGGGATTTAGCTCAGTGGTTTTGTTGCCTGTTGCGCAGGCGCAAGGATCCGAGTTCGATCCCCGGTACCAAAAGAAAAAAAAAAAAGAAATTTAAGAAAGAGGAAGTGTGGCAGAGAAAACCAGTGTCTGACTGACCCATTGAACACAATAATTTAACCTGTAATAACACATTTATTTTATTTATTCTGTATCTATTTTCTGAATCCAATTATTTTTGCCTTCTTTACTCTTCCTAAAAGCTTACTTTGCATGGGGATTCTTCTGATAAAATTCTTTATAGAAACTGCTACATAATTTTATAATAATTAAACTGTTAGGTGAACCAAACATTTTCAGGTGAGCATCGAACGTCCCTGAAAACAAAATAAAACCCTCCCCAGCAAGTATACTGAATTCCTAATTATCCATGCTGCAGTTTATCCAACCTGCAGCTATTCCTTGTAATACAGGTCCAGAATTCTGGAAGGCTCTCTTCTTCAGTGCTTTATAAGCAAGACAACTCATGTGGAATCAAGGAAAAGCGGGTACAAACTAAGAACCAGGGTAAATTCTTATCAGTTTTGCTAACGCTGGTTCCAGACAAAGTTCTGGATAACAGTGTCAAGGAAAGCCTTTAAAACATTATTTTCAAGGTGCCCTGGAAGATTCTGACCTTGTATTAAGTTAAGAAGTTCATTTTATGGGTCATCCAATCTAAACTGGAATTATACATGGTAACATATTCAAATAATTTAACTTTCATACTTCTAGAAGCAAATCTTAAAATCTTAAAAGTAATTCTTACATATAATTCTAGGGCAATGATCTTGCCCATCACTAAATCCATACACTCCAGTCTTTTAGCACAGCCTGAGATTGTCTATAAACTACAACAGAAAGACTTACTCTGGCTGTGAGATACTTCTAAGAATTAAGAATGAATAAATTTAATTTCTTTAAAATGATTTTAGAAATGTCTTTATTCCTTTTGACTGAAGGACAACAATTTACTCCAATCAATTTCATAAATAGAGTAATATTTTGTTAACCACAAAACCTTTCTGAAGGCAGTTTCAAATGAAAGTTTAAAATTTGTTGGGTTTCTTTTTTTGGAGGGGGTACCGGAGATCGAACTCAGGACCTTTCTCTTGCAGGCAGGCAGCAGCACCACTGAGTTAAATCCCTGGCCCCTGAAAGTTTAAAATTTGTACTTTCACATTAGAAAAGAATTAGTTTTATAGATTTGGTGGTTAAGGCGGCAAAAATCCCATAAACAAGGCTATAAAATAAGTGGAATCTAAATGAAATTCAGGATTCAATTAACTGTATAAAATAGTCATCTACTACTTTATTACAACCAGATCAGTAGTGATTATTTGTGGTTAACTGCACAAACATGCAATCAAATCTATAACCAGCTCCACCTCCAACTTTCTGTAACACTCATTTAAAGACAAAACAAAATTTGGACTGGAACGTAAGTGACACATTCAACACCAAGAGCATGCTAAAAAGTCACACAAGAAAGGGCATAAACTGAGGAGTGGGAAAAGTTGGCAATAGGAAGCTTAATTTTAAGTAGCTCTCTTCGTTTAAGATACACTACTAATGACCATATGAAAAACACCAAGGAGAATATATTCAAGTTAATGGAAACAAGTCTTTATTAAGTAACTTTTAATATCAGAAAAATAAAACTCTTATAATTCTCTTTACAGCAAATATATAATATCAGTGCTTTGGCCATCTTAAGTTAAAGGCCCTTTATCATAAAATATATGGTTTTAAACTTTACTCAAATTGAATTTATAATCCCTATGACTTCCCTACATATACATAACAAAAGAGTGTAGTAAAATTAGCAAATACTAAACTATATTGATAATTTATCATTCTTAGTTTGTGATTTTTAGAAACAGTACACGCACCTAATATATGTCGATTCCTTGGCTTATTAGTTGCAGTGTACAATGCAACAAAATACAAAATACATGCTTGGTGAACATTCGTTCATATCTACAATACGGCAGCTAGAGATTAGGTTTCAATACTGACATTTAACTATCCTACAAGCAATTAGCATTACATCATAATATGCCATCAAGGCAACTTTTTTATACTGAAAAAAATCAAAATAAAAACCATTATTTGTAAACTTTTATACGAAATGTAACTCTTCAAGTGGAAATAAAAAATAAAATTTGTCTATTTACTATTGAATACACATAGGATTTCAATTTTCATTATACTGAGAAAAAAAGCTCTTTTGTGTTGGGAAAATAATGCTTCAAAAAATAATTAGTAGAAAAACCCACCAGTATAATGTTTTGTACTTTCAATGCCAGCACAAATTTGGGAACATACTGAGGATGAAGTTATAGACATCCACAGGTGAAATGTACAAGTATATTTTAAAGAAATCTTTCCTTGTGATTGGAAACAGTTTTGAAATGAAGTAAACTGATTGGAGGTCACAGCTGCTTTCATGAACTATGCCAAGGGCATTATTATCTCCCTCCCCTCCCCTACATAACTAAAAAATAAAAATATATTTATAATGTGCAAGACAAATATGGATTGAACATAAAATGTTTCACATTTTGTTCTATAGTCTAAAAATTAATTAATAGCTTGATCAGACTAATGAATGGAATGTTCGCATCTTCAATTATCAGCCAATAAAGGTCCATCCCAAAGCCCTTCCTGAAATGGGAAAACCCAGGTGGCCATTTCCACATTCATGAAGGGAGGCAATGGGTAAGAATTCACAATTGAGACAATTGCATTCCTGATCCTCTGATCATACCAGCCTTGAACACATTGGGCGAGATGAAGGTCAATGTAGCAGTTTTTGTCCCAAATTATAACCAGTGATCTAGTAAACTGCCATCAGCCCTATTATTACCAGTAAGTATTCACAATGCATTAAAAAGTTACTTGCGATCCTGCAGAATTAGGCATAAGTTGTTGTAAAATAAAAAAACAAAAAAACCTGTTTTGTCAAAACTGGCAGTGTAAAGAAGGCAGCACTGGAAGTGTCTGAGTCATCTGTAATGCCAAGTACCCTCCATAAACTCTTAATGTGGTTAGGCTTTGGGACCCACTGTCTGGAATCTCAAACATATACATTTTCCTCATAGGTCCTACAACCTATGATCTTCACTCAGCCAAGCTGAACTTCAGCTTTAGCAATTCTTACACGAGCTATGTCTCTGGGTCTACAGGATAGTATTAATAATTCAAACCAAACTAACAGACAAGAGACCACTTAGGTTTAGTGTTACCATAGCAGCCTTTTATAAGTTTACTGACAACTTTAGCCTAATCCCAAGAAAGCCTGATAACAGTCATAAGAATTCATTAGGAAGTTTACTGGGGGTACCATTATACCCATGCCTTTATGAGTCCATATAGAGATATAGTATTTACGTATATATATATATAGTTAAGAGTGAATTTGGATTGCCTGAGTAACAGCTGTCTGGCAAACTGGACATGATGGTGTTCTCTTTTCACAGATCTTGTTGGCACATTCCATGCAGAAGAGGTTGTGGCCACATGGAACTAGGGCAGCAATAACTTCATTCTCAAAGCATATCACACAGTCATGCTTTCTTCTTGATTCTGGAGGTGAGCTAGAGGTGGAACCACCGTTGGAAGAGGAGTAACTATTGGTACCATTAGAAAAAGCAGGGATGTATATTGGAAGGCCAACATGGTTGCCTGTGCCAGGTGGGTCACTCCTAACCCTCCGAGCAAGTGGGTGTTCTATGCTCTCAGGAAATGTAGGAGACAGACGAGGAGTAGATGGCTGACTTCCTCTACGCTGAGTCTTCATGTTACCAGAAGGATCACTCCCAAAGCCAGAGAGTGGGTTAACTGGTTCAAATGGAGTCCAGATAGTTTGAGCAGATGTTGGTAAAGAGTCAAAGGCAGGAGAGTCAACTGCAAGATCTTCTGAGCCCACAGACGGTAGGGTATCTCCAAACCAAAAGTTTCCTGTGCTAAAGGGGCTTGTTGGACTAAAGTCAGCCAGCCTATTGCTTCCAAAGTAAGAATCTGTGGAGCCACTTCCTAGAGAACTGGAACTATCATTTCGATAATTGGATATCATCCTTGCACGGCTAGGAGGAATTGGATTAGAGGAGAGCCACGCAGAGCCAAGAGTGCCACCTTCAAAGCTTACATCAGTACCATTGTAATGGAAATCATTCTCTTCATTGAGCTCTATGTAGTTTCCTGTACGCATGGCAATATGCATTTCTATTTCTTCCCTTGCTCGGTCAACATTCTCAGGCATTCCGGTCACTTCAAAAACAGGCTCCTTATCTCTGCTTGGAGTTACTATGTATGTGTGGGTCTGCTGTTGAATTCTTTTAATTGTTGCTCCTTTGGGTCCAACCACTAATCCTACCACACGATAGGGTACCCTGACTTGGACGGTGGTTTGACCAGGAAGATTAGGACTACATGACAATCCTCCTAGGGCAGGGCCATTTTTGTTTCGAGATGCACGAATCATGGAGAAGTGCTCAGCAGCGGAGAGTATTTCTCTTTTGGCCATGGCAACGTCTTCTTTCCGTCCAGTGACAACAAAAATGGGTTCTTCACCACGAACAGGTGTCTTGATGTAAGTGTTCGTCTTGGCTCTCAGTGCTTTAATTTTACAACCTGTCAGAAGGAAAATATTGTATAAGAATCAATATCTACTTCAAAGGTACTTGTCAAGACAAAGCATAGAAAGCTCTTGTCAAACTAAGTATTTGCTAATGAGCACTTTTAAATAATAGAGTTTATTTACCATAAAACATCACTAAATGATAAAACCTTCCTTATCCCACTAATGGTGCTAAATGTAGCAATATACTTGTCTGGTGGTCTTCAGCTAGGAAGAGATTACCCCTACTGGGAAGGTGTAACTCAGATACTGGGTTCACTGTTTCCTTATTAGTTATTGAACATGATGCACATAGAGGTAAACTGTACCATAACTGGGTTGGATTTTCAGAACACTAATAATATGCTACCTTGTTAACAAGAAAAACAATGTGCAGGTGAGACATTTAACATTTATTGTTTTTTAATCTACATAATAACTCTAATAACTGGGTTATTACACTCCTTTTACTACTAAGAAAATGAAACTGAAGCTTAGAAAAAAATTGTCTTTAACTTGTCAAAACTCACACAGCAAGAAGGACAGCCAGAATTAAACCAATTTAAAATTTATAGTCCTTTTGTTAGCTCAAACATAGCTCAATTATCACATAACTACCTGATAGAAATTTTTTAGCTGACTTTCACTTAATTCTCTTACAATTTGAATTTAACATTATTCTTTCCTTCATAAAACTCAGTTGAGAACAAGGACAAATTGGATGCTCAAGGTCATCACACTTCTCCCACCTACTGAATTCTAGGCTAATCAACAGTCGGTTGTGTTTATTTCCATCTTGTTTATGCTAGCTATACTCATGTTGGTAACTAACTCATCTATATTAGTATACTATATAAACTAGGGAGATATGAATAAAAAATTTTCTATAAATACTAAGTTGAATGTTTTTGAAAATTTTAATAACAATGAGTACCTCAGGGAGAAAAAAAGCTGATGTTGAATTATGTATGGATGAGATGACCATAAACGCCTGGGATTAAAAAAAGCAATATAGAATGATTTTACACTCACTGTAAAGTTCTTGCTCCATTCAAAAGAAACAGATACTAGAGACTATATGGAACATGGGGGCTGAATGTGGTTTTATTCAAGGACTACTCTGATCAGCAGACCCAAATTACATTAAAAGGTATTGACCCTATATCTAAGTTAAGATAAAAATCAAAGATACATATACATAACTTATCATAATTCTGAACTTTAATGAATTTTTTATTTTTGAGTAATCACTGTTTACTAGTACCAACTGTGTAAGATTAGATAGCTTCAAGCTATAACTTAGAATGGCAAATACACAACAAAGGCATAAAACTCTGGGGTTGTATTTTTCAAAGTTCTTAACATGAAGCTTTCTGGAATAAATTTCTTCTCATGAATACATCATACTTTTCTTAGTTGTTCAAAAGAAAGAAGCTAAGTGCTATTGAAGACAGGAGCTACAATTTGGGTAGGTCTTTTTCCTAAACTTTCCCTTCCTTTTTTGGGGACACAACCAACTAATAACATATAAAAACTAAGATTCTGTATACATTTCTAGCCTGCATACCTTTAATTGTCCCTTCCTCCATATAAACTCAAATAGGTCTCCTTGCCTCCAGTCTTGTCTTATTCCAATCGCTTCTCTATATTCTCTTTAGTGAGATGATGCTTGGTACAGCAGAGGTCACATGATTACTTCTTTGCAAAAAGTGCTTTATTGGCTTTCACCCTAAAGGCAAAGTCCAAACAATATGGCACCTTAAGGCCCCTGTAGCTGGTACCTGACTGCCTCTCACTAGCTTCATCTCTCCCTCTGCTCTTCCCCTTCCTCACTCCTTAAACTCCATATAGTACACCTCACATGCTTCTTTGCTTCCATGACTAGTATCTTCTTTTCTTTGCTCCTTTACTCCCAGCTCTGCTTAACTCCTGGTAATCCTTCAGGTTTTGGTTTAGATGCCTCATCCTCTATGAGGCTTCCTCTCCCCCAGGACTACTTGATAAGCTCTTCCTCTGCATTCCCAAAGCATGGGGCAGTTAGATATCTTTATATATCAAAGGCTGGCCAGGTAACAATTGCTGAATGAAAGATGGCTGTTTTTCTATGCAAGAATGCTGGGCCTTTCTGATGTGCACTGCTTTGGATCTAATCTTTTCTTTTTTATCATTTTTTTTTCTTTTGACAACTAGCTTTCACAATGTTCAAATTCTGGTCCCATACTACTAATCCAATCTTACTGAAGGCAGTTGATTACACTAATTTCAATTACAGCATATTCAAAACAACTTTACTCAATCTACTATTCAACTCCTGGATCTCAACACCACAAATGAAGATTCTGTTCTTCCTTCTAACAAACTAGAATTTATAAAGAAATGGCTGCTTTTCACTGCTGGATTCTAGGGTACAGTACCATGAAAACAGAGAAGTTATTATGCAGATTGAGACAATAAATGTTAAATGTTTTACCTGCACACTGTTTTTCTTGCCAACAAGGTAGCATATTATCAGTGTTCTGACATCAAATGGTATCACTTCTCCTCACAGAGCTTCTCCACGTGTCTCATTTTTCCTTCATTTTATTATACTTTCAAAAAAATCTCACTGCTGGCTACAGAGCTAGTTTAAGCAAAAGGAAACTTGAACTTAAGACTGATCTACCAGTTAAAGAAGAAATGTAAGGTTAGAGATATAACTTTAAGGCCATATTCTTTTGAGAAGACTATAGTCAGGAAAAAGGCCAAAACCAAAACTGCAAGAAAATCAATGTAAGAACTAAATGAGGCAAAGGATACAAAGAGGGGGTGGTTTGGAGTCTATCAAGAAATTTCTACAAGTCAAATTTCTGTTATTATTAAAACGAAAATGTTTATTATAGATTGCTACTCTAAGTTTATATCTACAATGAACTGCACAAAGATTAAATGGATGGTGTTAACTTTTTGGTATACAGTATGTTATATGCTGGGTGTAGTGGCACATACCTGTAATCCTAGCTCTCAGGGAGGCTGAGGCAGGAGGATAGAAGTTTGAGGCCAACCTGGACAATTTAGCAAGACTTTGTCTCAAAAATAAAAAATAATGGCCTGAAGATGTAGCTCACTGCAAAGGCCCTGGATTCAAGCCCCAGTACCACACACACATAAAATCTGGTCGTACCATATAATATTTTTTGTGTAATACTTCATAGATATTGTTAACTAAGAACATACGCTTTAAAGTATACAGAACACTATCTGCCTGTGGTCAGATACTTGGCTAACTGGAAATAGAGAATACAAAAGGTTAAGAGCTTGAATCACTTCTGAGGTAGGGGAGAAAGGCCAATACTACCCAAATGACTATGTCCTTAGGTTTTGGAGATCGGAGAAAGAGGCAAGAGGAAGACGGTGAATATGGCAAAGACAACCCCTTTCAGACCATTGTTCTAATAAGATAGAGGAATGTACTTCTTTGTCCCTAAATTGTATACAACAGTTTTAACACAGTACCTTAAATCATATTAGGACTGTAGAAAACCCCACTGTGACACTATTTGTTTAGGACATATATATTCTGAGTTCCAAACAACTAACATAATTTCTAGAATAAAAACACTTTCTAAAGTTGGGGACTACTCGAAGAAGTAGAGTTTTTAAAAGACGACACAAACTAGAGGAGGAGTAACAAACTTAATTTTATGGGTGGAAGAGGCAAATAGCTTATTGGATCATTTTAGATTGTGCTCCTGTTTGAAAATTCAGATTTTTAAATTTATTTTAAAATGTTTTTATTTTATTTTTTTCCCCAGTACCGAGGAGCGAACTCAGGACCTTATGCTTGCAAGGCAGGTAAGGCGTCAATGAGCTAAATCCCCTGCCAAAGATTTTTTAAAAGTAATGGAAGAATTTATAATCCCAGAGTGACATGACTTAGAAGCCATAAAGTATTGATAAATTATTTACTTCAAAAATAGTTTAAAAAATTAGAATATTTATAATTCATCTCACAAATGGCTAATTTCTTTCTCTCCTCTTTCACACATATCCCTATGTCCCTTCCCAACAAATTAAAACACTACAAATCCAAGAGAAAAATAAGTTAAAAAAAACTCAGGAAAGCATACTAGCCAGGCGTGATGGCACACGTCTGTAATCCCAGCACTTGGGAGGTTGAGGCAGGAGCACTGCTGCAAGTTCAAGGCCAGCTTGGGCTACATAGTGAGTTCAAGACTGGCCTGAACTGCATAGAAAGACCCTGTCTCAAAAACAAACAAACAAACAAAAAAACAGAATAGCATACAAATGGCCCTGAAGATAGAAATTCTTATTTCCACAGGAATTGAGCTATCATTTCCATCTAAAGGACTGTCAAATATTTAAAACCTTGTAACACTCTAGGTGAGAGTGGGGGAAAAGGGCTCTCATACTCAGCTGGTCTGAACATTACCCAGAGACAGCAATTTCCAACATCTATCAAAATTACCTTGCACCTCTATAATCTGACTTTTAGAATTGATTCTGTAGAAATACTGGCATAGGAGAACGCTCTCTACATTGCATTATAACGGGCGGAAAAGAGCTTAATTGAATTGCCTAAGACCTCTCAGCTGTTAAGGCAGATCTCAAACCTAAGTTGTCTTCATTTTATACTCTTTTCTCTAAAAGCACTATTTTCCCCTAAAGGCACATCATTTCTCATTTTTATGATAAATTAAAATTAACAAGGAGGTCATATTACTTAATGATTTTATATGAAATAAGGTGTTTTCCCTCTTGGAAAGGGAGACTATCCAAAAAGCTTTATTTTACAAGAACTCAATTTCAGCATTATTTTATCCTCATAATCTGACAAATATTAGCTAAATGCCAACGAAGGAATGTGATGCACACACTTTGGGGGTGGGGAGGTGGTACTAGGCTTTGAACCCAAGGCTTCTGCACTAAGCTAAATTCCCAGACCCTTTTAAAGTATATTTATTTTGAGACAGTATCTTGGTAAGTCATTAAGTTGTCCAGGCTGGGCTTGAACTTA